ACATATAGATCAATGGAAGAGAACTGAGAATCCAGAAATAAACCCTGACATTTTCTGTCAACTGATACTTCACAAAGGTTCCAAGAAAATTCAATGGAAAATAATGAAGAGACACCATTTGTCTTTTGAACAAATGGTGCTGAGACAAATGAATATCCAAAGGCAAAAACATTAATTAGGGTGCCTATTTCATTCCATACCCAAAAATTAACTAAAATGGATCAAAGACCTAAATCTAAGAGCTAAAATGATAAAACTCTTAGAAGAAAACACAGGAGTAAATGATCATGACCTTGGATTAGGCAATGGTTTCTTAGATATAACACCAAAAGCACAGAGACCAAAAAAAAAAAAAAAATAGATAAATGGGGCTTCATCAAAATTTAAAACTTTTGTTTCAAAAGACACCACCAAGAGTGTGAGAAACCAGTTAAAAGAATGAGACAAAATATATGAAAATCATATATCTGATAAGGGACTTGTACCCAGAAAGTATTTTTTTTAACTCTTACAACAAAAAGATAATCAACCCAATTTAAAAATGGGCAAAGGATCTGAGTAGACAGTTCTAAAAAAACATACAAATGACCAATTAGCATATGAAAAGACAACGTCATTTAGTTATTAGGAAATGCCAATCAAAACCACAATGAAATACTACTTCACACCCACTAAGATAGAAAGATAGAAGGAAAGAAAAAAAAGAGAGGAAAAAACAATGGAAGGAGATAAGTGTTGGTAAGGATGTAGAGAAACATGAATCCTTCATACATTGCTGGTGGGAATGCAAAATGGTACAGTCATTTTGAAAAAAACTCAGCAGTTGCTCAAAAGGTTAAACAATATTAAAGCATGACAGGGCGATTCTAATCCTAATTATCTATTCAAGACATATGTCTAAGGATGGGCACAGTGGCTCATGCCTGTAATCCCAGCACTTTGGGAGACCAAGGTAGACAGATCACTTGAGCTCAGGAGTTCAAGACCAGCCTGGGCAACACGGCAAAACCTCATCTGTACAAAAAATAGAATAATTGGCCAAGCGTGTTTGTGCATGCCTGTAGTCCCAACTACTTGTTGGGCTGAGGTGGGAGAATTGCTTGAGCCTGGGAGGTTGAGGCTGCAGTCAGCTGTTTTTTCACCACTGCACTCCAGCCTGGGGAACAAAGTGAGATTCCATCTCAAAAGAAAAAGGAAAAATAAAACATATGTCTACACAAACACCTGCAAACACTTGTACAGGAATGTTTACAACATTATCATAATAGCTAAAAAGTAGAAACAATATAAAAATTCAACTGGTGAATAAACACAATGTGGTATAAAAAGAAGTGAAATACTGATTTATGCTACAATATTAATAAACGTCAAAACATTATGGTCAGTGAAAGCCAGACATAAGAACAAACATATTGTATGGTTCTGTCTATATGAAATGTCCAAAAAATCAAATCTTATAGAGACAGAAAATAGGTTAGTAGTTCCTCACAGCTGTAGGTAAGAATGGAAAGTGACTGTAAATGAGCAGTTTCTTTTGGAGTATGAGGGAAATGTTCTAAAACCATCACCAGACTGTGGTGATGGCTCACAATTCTGTAAATATACTAAATATTATTTAATTATTGAATTAAAATGGGTGAATTTTATGATATGTAAATTACATCACAATAAAACTTTTTTTAAAAGCACTAAAAAGTATTAAAATGTTTAAAATAATATCAAAGACAGTAGATAGAGTCAGCAGTTCCAAATAATACAAACATATGGAAACTTTTTCCCTCTCTCCTGTTGTATTTTTGTTGCTTTGATTTCCCTTTGCACAGCAACAATTTATAAAATGTTTCAGATAGCCTAGGAGAATTCAACCGTATTAAAATAAAAATTTAAGTCTGTTAATACTAAACTAGGTTTGCTAGAGATGCATTAATAACATTCCTCTCCATTATAGTAACAAGACCTAAATTTCCTCAGCTATGAGATAAGGCCAATACTACTTACATCTCACAGACTTGTGAAAATTAAGTAAGACAGTTCAGGCTTAGCCTAATGCCTAACATGTAATAAGACTCAATAGATACTAGCTGCCATAATTATAAATAGAGAGAGTTCAGTTCCAACCTGATATTGCTCACATACTCTTATGACTGATATGCCAAATAATTAGTGAAATAGGAAGAACAGTACAATTTTATTTTTTAAAAATTATACGCCGGGCGCGGTGGCTTGAGCCACCCAGCACTTTGGGAGGCCGAGGCGGGTGGATCACAAGGTCAAGAGATCGAGACCATCCTGGTCAACATGGTGAAACCCCGTCTCTACTAAAAATACAAAAAATTAGCTGGGCATGGTGGCGCGTGCCTGTAATCCCAGCTACTCAGGAGGCTGAGGCAGGAGAATTGCCTGAACCCAGGAGGCGGAGGTTGCGGTGAGCCGAGATCACGCCATTGCACTCCAGCCTGGGTAACAAGAGCGAAACTCCGTCTAAAAAAAATATATATATATATATATACTACAAGAGAACTAAGTCTGTAGGTACAAATTCTGTAAGCTCACTGATAGTGAAAATGAGGTCAAGAGAGGATAAAAGAATCCCATTAAAACAGAAAAAGCAAACTAGGTCTCTTCTAAAAATAATCTGCCCAAGAGAACTTTACAAAATTCTTGTGCTGTGAAGCAAATACATCACAATTTCCCATTCCTGTTGTTTTGAACCAACTCACTTCCTAACTCTGCCTACTAACTTAACTATCATAAGCCAGCTTCACCTAAACAACTCATCATGTTCTATCCTACCTGCGTTTCCAGACATCCTGGATATCCTAACCATCCCATTTTACCTACCTTTTAGAAGTAGAACATTCAGATAAAGGTTGAAAATCAAAAGCTCCAGAACTTTCAGCAGAGGAAAACTAAAGTATAGACAAGATGCCCCCTCCTAGCTTAAGACAACTAGGACTTGGAAGTGACTCAAGTCCCTTCTACCATACATTAGAGATATTTTTTTTAATTCTACTTTTTAATATTCAAACACATTGCCACAAATGCAATGCAGAAATATTTCATGAACATTTTAACATTGTGAATTCAACTAATTATGTATTTATATATAATTAGTTCTATATATAAAACATATATATGTGTCTTAAGTTAAAATTTTTGAAATAATACAAAGCCCTCTAGATTTTAAAAATCTGTCAAAAATCACATTCTATTATTCAAAAATTGGGTGAGTAAACTATAAAACTAATTAATTACACACTATTGCCTGTTGGCAACATCACTTGTATCAGTTTAAAAAATATATCATTTTCCTTTGTCAGGATCATGTCAACCACATTGTTCTTTTGTTTATTAAAAAGATGCTGATTTGGGTCATTATTGTACTTTTAATTCAATTTCTACTGCTACTAAAGTTTAAATCTTTTCATCCTCTAACAATATCATTAACTGTATATTAAATAGATGTTATAACGCTAATGCTGTGAACATGCCTGAAAATCACTAACTCTGGAAGAGAAGTCAGATGTCATAAATTCTGTAAGGAAGGCCAAACAATTATCATTTTATGCCAGGCTGATAATTTAGAAGAAACAAACTGAAAAAATATTACAGATAATGCCAGAAAACTAAAAGGCAATATTAAAGTAATAATATGTTGCAAAGTTATTGATTGATATCCCAAAGAACCTGTGCCCACCACTTTACAAGCATTCTTATGGAAAAGTGAGATTTAAATAATGTAAGCTTTTTTTATTTTTACTTTTATTAATTTTTTGCAGAGATGGTGTTTCACCATGTTGCCCAAGCTGGTCTTGAACTCCTGCAATGAAGCAATCAACCTGCCTCAATCTCCCAAAGTACTGGAACTACAAGTGTGAGTCACCATGCCCGGCCTGAATGATGTAAGTTTTGAAGCACACAGTCTTCAGGATATGTCTCCCGTAAGATAAAACAACTTTGTACATGCAAAACTTTCAGAAAATGTGACTTGATTTTTATTAATTAAAGATTATGATTCCTTTACTTCTAGCATTCCATCTCTCAAACCAAATATAACTTTTGATGTAAATCTTTTTGGGAAACCAAGTCTGAAAACTGAGTGTGTGCTTGTTCTAAGGATAAAAGCATCATCATTGCATCAGTAGACCTGCTTATTCACCCTGATAATTTATCCCTGGCATGGTAGAATGTCAAAAGGCTCATAAACTGCTATGGAGTCACTCATATATTTTATATTTCCTACACACAATTTACTTGAAAAGGGGAATTATACTAAGAAGTTTATAGAAGTACTTTGACATAAATTCAAGGATCCCATTCAGTCTTCTAAATTTGTGTGACTTTCCAACAATTATAATTTGCTATGGTCATTTTTTATTCACTATGTTAAAAAGAAAATTCAATACTCTTTTTTAAAATAACAACTTTCTAAAATCATTGACTGATGCCCAATTCTGAAATGTTCTATATTATTTCCAGTAACAACTGTAATTTGAATCTTCCAGATATTTAATTCCTCTATATAAGTAATTTGTTAACACTATGACTATAGTAGCATAGTTGCTAAATGGAGCATCTTTGGTTGGCCCAAGTACAGAGGTGTTTACAACCAACTGATAACAAGTTACAGACGTCTTTGTTCCTGCTCCACTCCCAGTGTTTCATTTGACTAGCCTTTTAAAAAAGAAGAAGAAGAAACAGAGCATCATTTCTCACTACTGATCACAAATAATGACTCAATCATCATTATCAGTCTAGGCATAACCCCAGCATTAGCAGCAAAAGCTTAGCAAGATGTTCCAAATGCACAAAAACAAGAAAGTACAGATACTTAAAATCACAGAAAGTTAAGAGCTTGGAAGAATCTTAAAGGCCACTGAATTGAAACCTTCTACTTTAAATGTTGTGGTCATAATCGAGATCAACGAGCTTAAATGCATCATTTATGGTCACATTTCATAGGATAAGCCCATACTGTATCACACACATACATATCTTACCTTTCTGGTGATGACTTGGTAGTGACAGGACACCCTCGGATACCTTTTTTATTTTTATGGTCTAGAGAGATGACTTTATTCCTTAGACTCCTTTCCCACTAAGAAAAAAAATGAAATTTTAATAATAAACAATATGACAAGAGGCATTTAAAATGTTCTTTTTTATTTAGAAATTTGTTGTAAACGATTAAATTCATAGTAGTTCACAGAGAAAAATAGTAAGTGTAATCTATGGAATATCTGGCTCTTTTGCTAATGCAAAAATGTTAAGTCCACCAAAAAATACCAGGAAGACATTTTAAAATACCAGGGTAACTTTAATGAAAAAATCAACACTTTGAGATTCCAAAGCTCAAATAAATATTAAAATCTGTAATGTATTTAAAGAAAGTAATATAAATTATTACATAGCAGGTTATATAGGGCCTATGATTTTGATGTAACTGCATTTATAATAATTGGAAGATATTAAAATTAGTTACCTATGAACTGCCACATGGAAAACTTTAGGAAAGAGCCAGACATTTTACTGACAGAGTTTAGATTAAATATGACTAGAATAAAAGATTCAAATTAATTTATTTAATACACAGTGTTATCCTAAGCAAATAAGTATTTATATTCTCTATGCCTTAGTTTCTTTATCTGAAAATGGATATAATAACAGTAGCTATCTCACAAAGATATACAATGATTACATCTGTATTAAGTTTTGGTTTTGCTTCCACATCACAGAACAGACATTTGTAATAAGTTTATAAGGCCAGGCCTGGGGGCTCACGCCTATAATCCCAGCCCTTTGGGAGGCTGAGGCAGGTAGATCACAAGGTCAGGAGTTCAAGACCAGGCTGGCCAACATGGTGAAACCCCATCTCTACTAAAAATACAAAAATTAGCTGGGCGCGGTGGCGGGTATCTGTAACCCCAGCTACTCAGGAGGCTGAGGCAGGAGAATCGCTTGAACCTGGGCGGCAGAGGTTGCAGTGAGCCAAGTTGGTGCCACTGTACTCCAGCCTGGGTGATAAAGTGAGACTCTATCTCAAAAAAATAATGAATGAAATAAAGTTTACAAGACTGTCTTTATAAAAGAGATATTTGTACAATTGTGTTTGTAGTCCATTATTCGCAATAGCCAAAAGAGTCAGAAAAATCCACCAAAAAAAAATTAAGGCTGATAGACTAATTCAGAAAAGTTACAAAATATAAGATCAAAAGGCAAAAATCAGTTGTATTTCTATATAGTAGCAGTGACAAATCTGAAAGGGAAATTAAGAAAAAACATCTACTTACAATAGTATCAAAAAGAATAAAATACCCAACAAATTTAATCAAGGCAATGTAAGACTTTCATGCTGAAAATATCAAAACATGCTGTAAGAAATTAAAGAAACCCTAAATAAATGAAAAGATATATCCTAATCGAGGACTGAAAGCCTTTATTAACTATTTTGGTTAGTAGTTAGGCATTACTCCCAAAAGTGACCTCCAGATTCCATTCAATCCCTACCAAAATTTCAACAGCCCAACAGCCTGTTTTGCAGAAATGGATGAACTGATCTAACAACTGGGAGAGGCTCCAAAGAACCAAAACAATCTTGAAGAAGGCAAACAAAATTAGAGGACTCACATTTTAGTTTCAAAATTTACTATAAAGCTATAGTAATCAAAACAATGTTGGTACTGGCAAAGGGCAAACACATAGATCTATGGGACAGAACTGAAAGTCTAGAAATAAACCCATATATCTATGGCCAATAATTGATTTTCAACAAGGTTGCCAAAACCATTCATGGGAGAAAAATAAACTTTCAACAAATAGTTCTAGAACAACTGAACAGCCACATGCAAAAGTATGAACTTGGACCCTTGCCTCATACCATATTCAAAAATAAACTTAAATAAAGAGAAGATCTAAATATTATATAAGAGCTAAAATTATGAAGCTCTTAGAAAAAAACACAGAAGTACATTTTCATGACTTGTCTTTGCCAATGATTTCACAGTTATAACCACAAAAACACAAATAACAAGAGAAAAATGATAAATTGAACATCACCCAAATTTGAAACAAAGAACACTATTGGAATAGTGAAAAAGCAACCAACTAATCAAATGGGAGAAAATATTTACAAATAAGGTAACTGATAAAAGTACAGTATCCAGGCCAACCACAATGGCTCACACCTGTAATCCCAGCACTCTGGAAGACCAAGGCAGGAGGGGATTGCTGGAGGCTGAGTTTCAGGCCAGCCTGGGCAACATAGCAAGATCCCACCTCTTTAAGGAAAAAGGTATAGCATTCAAAATTTAAAAACAAAATCTTACAACTCAGTAAGATAAAGAAAAAAAAATTTAATGGGCAAAGAATGTGAATAGACATTTCTTCAAAAAAAAATACAAATGACAAAAAGCATCTTCAAAGACACTCAGTGTCATTAGTCATTAGGAAGTGCAAATCCAAACCAAAGAAGTGAAAGATCTCTGCAATGAAAACCATAAAACATTGATGAAAAAAACTGGAGAACAAAAGAACAGAAAGATATTCATGGGTCATGGGTTGAGTCAGTATTGTTTATCTTCTTCAAGAACAAAAAAATAAAATGAAAAAAGACTCAATGTGTTAAAATGTCATTGTTAAAATGTCCACACTAAACAAAGAAATCTATAGATTCACCAAAATCCCTATAAAAATATCAATAACATTCTTCCCAGAAGAAGGAAAAATACCCCTAAAATTTATATGGAAACACATAAAAATGCAATCAAAACCACAATGACATATCATTTCATACCCACTAGGATTAAGAATGAAGAAAAGAGAGGAGAAGGAAAAGGAAAATCTAAGAGCAAGAGAGAGAGAGAGAGAGAGAGAGAGAGAGAAAACAAGTGTTGGTGAGTATATAAAGAACCTGGAGCCCTCATACATTACTAGTGGAAATGTAATCGGTATAGCTACTGTAAGAAAAAAAAAAAGTATGGCAGTTCCTCAATAACTTAAACATAAAGTTACCACATGACACAGCAATTCCTATCTTAAGTATAAAACAAAAGAATGGAAAACAGGTTTTCAAACAGATACCTGTATGTTCATATAAGCATTATTCATAATAGCAAAAAAGGTGAAAACAATACAAACAGATGAACAGATAAATGTGATATAACCATACAACAGAATATTACTAGACCATAAAAAGAACTAAAGCACATACTATAACATAGATGAACTTTGAAAGCATTTGTGCTAAGGGAAACAGCACAGACACAAAAGATCATATAATGAGTGACTGTTTGTGTGAAATATCTAGAATAGGAAAATCCAAGCAACAGAAAACAAAGTAGTTATTTCCAGGGTCTGGAAAGTGGGGAGAACAGAGAGACAAAACAGGAAGTGAATGCTTAATGAGTAAAGAGTTTCCATTTGGGGTGATGAAAAGGTTCTGAAACCAGACAGAGAAAGTGGTTGCACAAAACTGTGAAAGAACTAAATGCTGCTAAATTGAACGCATTAAAATGGCTAAACATGATAAATATTGTGTTATATGTATTTTGTCACAACAACAACAAAAAGCATATAACTGCATCTCCAGCAAAAAACACAGCATTAAAAAAACCACTAAGAATAAAGAAACCGGGCACAGTGACTCATGCCTGTAATCCCAGCACTTTGAGAGATCAAGGTGGATGGATCCTTACAGGCCAGGAGTTCAAGACCAGCCTAGGCAACATGATGAAACCTTGTCTCAATTAACAATACAAAAATTAGCTAGGCATGGTGGTGCATGCCTGTAGTCCTAGCTACTTGGGAGTCTGAGGCACAATAATTGCTGGAACCCAGGATGCAGAGGTTTCAGTGAGCCAAGATCACACCACTGCATTCCAGCCTGGACAATAGAGCAAGACTCAGTCTTAAAAAAAGAGAAGAAGAAAAAAGAACAAGAAGAAAGAACAAGAAGAAAAAAGAAGAAAAGAAGAAGAAGAAAGAAGAAGAAACCACTAAGAATAAAGGAAAAAAAATGATCAACTAGATTCATCAAAATCAACTATTTCTGCTCATCAAACTACATACAATTAAGAAATAAAACAGCTACAGATTGAGAGAAAATATCTGCAGTACACATACTGACAACAGACTCATATCTTTACTATATAAAGAATTCCTATACATCAATAACAAAGACTAAAAACTCAGACTTGAACCAGGCACAGTGGCTTATGCCTGTAATCCCAACACTTTGGGAGGCTGAGGCAGGAAGATCACTTAGGTCAGAAGTTTGGTCTGATAGACAAAGTGAGACCCTATCTCTACCAAAAAAAAAATTTTTTTTTTAATTAGCCATTGGTGGTGGCATGTGTCTGTAGTCCCAGCTACTCAGGAGGCTGAGGCAGGAGGATCACTTGAGCCTAGGAGTCTGAGGTTGCATGGAGTTATAATCGTACCACTGCCCTCAGGCCTAGGTGACACAGCAAAACCCTGTTTCACAAATAAATAAATATATAAAATAAAAACTCAGATTAAAAAATGAGCAAGAATTCTACTAGAAATAAAATAGAATAAGAATAGTCTTCTCAGCTTCTTCCACTGAGTGGAACTAGGAATTCTAGACAGACTGCATGAAGAAGTCATCTTAGGACCCTGAAGAGTATATGATAAGAATGACAGTGTTGAACTCAAAGTAATACCAAACCTGCAGATCTAACCAAGTTCCAGAGACTTGCAACTTAATATTCAAAACGTCCAGGATATAATCAAAAACTGCTGGGCATATAAAGAATCTAGGAAATCTCAACAACTCACCGAAGATGAGAATCAAGAGCAGCTAAGTAGAAGAAGACAGAGATGTTGAAATTATCAGGAAAAAAAAATTATTTTACTTATTTATTTATTTTTGAGACAAGAGTTTGACTCTTGTTGCCCAGCCTGGAGTGCAGTGGTGCAATCTCGGCTCACCACAACTTCTGCCTCCCAGGTTCAAGCGATTCTCCTGTCTCAGCCTCCCAAGTAGCTGGGACTACAGATGCCCTCCACCACGCCCGGCTAATTTTTTGTATTTTTAGTGGAGACAGAGTTTCACCATGTTGGCCAGGCTGGCCTCAAACT